AGGGAGCTTTCTTGTGTCATTTGAGGCCTTGTCCATCTGTAAGTTGAGGCCAGTGCCTATGAAAAGCAGGGCTTGCCTGTCCATCATATATGCAGATTTGAAGTCAATACTACAATTGCAAGAGAGGGAGTTAGTTCATCTTCAGAGGCTACCACCACTGAGCTGGATATTACCTCCTTAATCCCAGCTATGATAACAATCATGTGTTAGTTAAAACCACTTCCCTGGTTGCTTCACTTCTTTCCGAGACGAAAGAAGTAAAGAGATGATAAAGGGAAACATACTCCATCGGCGGCCTGAACCAGACTGGTGCAGGGAGTAGTAAGCTCATGTAAAATTGAGTTTTGAATGTTAATCTTAAAACATTCATGTCCTAGTTTAAGATATCTGACTTTAATTTAGAAGTAGCAAGACTGAGAACAGAGTTCGGAAGAGATGGAGAGAGCAAGGTGTAGGCAGAGGACTAGTCTTAGCCCTCAGCATTTGGTATTGCTAATATAACACTGGGCAACACAGCAGGAGTGCTGTTCAGCATCAACACTGGAACCTCTTTTCCTCAAGTCTCCAGATTTAAAACCCAGATGATTATGCAAGAGTAGTATTTTCATCATCTTTTTAAATGGAAGGATGGACATGTCTGGATAGGAAAGACTCCATTTTCTGATTCACTTTTATGTTTACTCTCTCTTGCATTCAGGCTTTTTTTTTTTAAGATACAAAGTTGTTGCTGACTTTGTATTCTACTGTACCACAACAGTGGGTAGAGGGAAGGGAAAGCAAATGCACAGATTTGCCAGGAGACAGATTTATTCTGAACTTCAGCACTGTGGAACTTCCACCATGACACTCTTCCCTTCTTCCTTCATTCCCTTGCTCCAGGAACGAGGCAGATAGACCAGATATTGCAGGAAATGACCAGCTCCTGTTTTGTGCTAAAGCATTCAGTTCTGTTTAATTTTGGGCCATTCACAGTCCCACAAAACAGTGTGAATGTTTTCAAAGAATGGCTGTGAAATGGATGCAACATGGAAAATTCAAGTGGCAAATCTGCCTAGAAGCATCTGATCATTCTTTTCCTGCTTTCCTGCTTCCAAATGCCTGTTTCTTCTTTGTGTTTAAAAGTAGCACTTGAAAAGAGGGAAAATAAATCAATCTGTTAATCTGTTTTTCTTGTGAAATAATATCTGTTTGCAAATACTCTTATGTGGACACACACATTTAGAGAGCTAGGGAATTACAGCTTGGAAATTCTTTCTAGGCCTGGATTTCTCCTGACTCTCAGGTCCATTCCCAGGCTGACAAGCTGACTACAGCTTCAGTTAGGGAGGAAGTCTCCCAGGGTGATAACATGGTGAAAAACAGAGTGGAATTCATAATAAAGATTGACACCTGGTGTCTTTCCCGTGGGATACATCCTGAGATACTGTCCCAGGGATGTTTTTCCCAATTGTCCAATGAACTACTGTCGTGTCCTAGCTGCACGTAACATGCTTTAAATCTGGGATGTCCGTAAAATAAAGTTGGCCTTTTTTCCCCAAAGAGGTCCGTGTGTGTTGCTGTCCTTTCTCTCCCTTTGCAGCGCAGTAACCACACTCTTAAATGTGGATTAAGGAATGGGGCAGAACTGCTGTTCCCCATCCACACCTCTGCCACATTTAGAGGGCAATCTGAAAACACATGCCTCCATAAGAAATGTATCTTTAGAAAGTAGTCTTTTATGTTTTTTTCTGATCTGAAGTTGAATCCTGACTTGTAGCATAAACAGGAACATACACAGTCAGAACTGATTTACTATCTCTGCAACGTTTTTTCTATCCATCACTAAACTGCACTGATTTTAATCTGACCATGAAGAGAAAAAACTGGAAGAAACTATGGAAAGAAATTAGTTCCTCAACTTATTCTGATCACCCTGAGTGCTTTAAACACAAAATATTTAATTTATCTCCAATTTGTGTTTTGAATTTCACTTTTTTTAAAAGTTTTTAAAAGGTCTCATTGCTTCAGAGCTCCTACTGGCTTTATCTTAGTTATGAGTCACATTCCTCTGCTATGATTGTTTACCATTTCTATAAGTTTTGTTCTTAGGTTCCCTGTCATTTTATGCCCATAGATGTGAAAAACGCAATTTAGCCTTACAGCTATGCCATAGGTCTGGGTCTTGCCTTTCCACTGCCTGGGAGAACATACTAAGATCGACACTTGGATCTTACCTAGCTTAGCTGCTTGCTTGATATAAAGATAACTGCTCCTGCTCTGGTGTGGGGTCCTCTGTGGGCTGCTGGGTGGATGTCTGCTGCAACATGGTTCTTCATTTTGCATAGGGGGACAATGTTCTTTGTCATGGCCTTTGTCATGGGCTGCAGGCAAACCTTTGCTCCAGCACGGGGAGCACATCCTCCCTCCCCTTTTCCATCAACCTTGGTGTATGCAGGGTTGTTTCTCTCACATTTTTTTTCTCACTCCTCTGCCTTACAGCTGTTGTGCATCATTATTTACCCTTTCTTAAATGTGAGGATTTACCAGCATCACTTATGGTCTAAGCTTTGGACAACAGGGAATCCATTTTGAAGCCATTTGGCTTCTCATGGACAACACCTGCAGACTGCCTAATGCTAAAATCTTGCCATGTAAGCCCAGTACAATGTGGAAGCAATATGCTGGCTTACATGATTGTCAAATTTATGCTGAGTAATTCTGCAGGTTAAAATGAAGTAGTGGTGTAGTTATATTTGAATGTCACGTGCAGGTGCTGCTTTGGATCCATGTCTGACATATGACCTTGAAAGGGCGAGAAAGAACTTAATTTCTGTTAATGAAGCTCTATCTAAAATGTATCAGGAACAGCTGAGAGTATGGGTCTGCAATATGTGGAGACAATACCTGTGAATGAAAGACAATCTCTTCACAAATATGATAAAGCTCCAAAGAGACATTTATCTACAGCTCTTAGGAGCTATTCACACATTCAGTGAGTGTAGAAGAGGTTTTTTTACACAGAAAAGATAGACAGCTAGGATGGAGGTAAATCATCTTCATACTTATTACAATGGCTATTGCAGTATATTTAAGTGGTTTCTTACATATCTGCTTTCTCAACTTGATTTGGCTGCAGTTGCTTCTGGTGTTGTTATCCACACATTTTTTCCTTTCTCTGAGTTACTAATAATAACTATGGAGTTATTATTATAGTATGGATAAAAGTATGGAGGGTTTTAAGTTAATAAATACATTAATTAATAATGCCTCAACTTCAAGCAATACTCTCCACCTCTCCAATATATTAGAAAAAAAAAAAGTTTTTGTAAGAGGGTTGTAAATATAACAGTCAAAATAATAGATGTCATTAATTCTTATGAAGCAACTTTCTGCCTTCCAGAATTTCCTGACCTAATGTTGATTCAAAGTGTTGCCTGCTTCTAGTGAAGAGAATTCTAAGTCTAACATGTTCAGGACAAATTAAGACAATTTTCGTTTCCTACTATTTTTAATTTGCCCTTCTATAAGCTGATCTGTCATGTACAGACTTTCCTGTTCATAGATGGTATGGCTGGAATGATAGCAGGATTGATTAGTTTCTTTTCTTTCCATCTTGACATGGAGTCATAGAATCATAGAGTGTGCTGAGTTGGAGAGGACCCACAAGTATCATCAATTCTAACTCCTGGCCACAGACTGGACAATCCTAAAAATCACACCATGTGCCTGAGGACATTGTTCAAACACTTCTTGAACTCTGTCAGGTTTGTTGCTGAGACCACTTTCTTGGGGAGCCTGTTCCAGTGCCCAGCTCCCACTTTTTCTAAAGATTCCCTGACACAGTCAACAGAATGTGCACAGTCAACAGACTGTGTCAAGAAACTGTGACACAGAATAATGCTGTTCCCTTGAGTTCCGTTGCTGGTCATTGTACAGGAGAGATAAATCCTGCCCTTCTGCTTCTCATCATGGGGAAGCTGAAACTTCTGAAGCTGTGGAAATCTAAAGCAATAATGGTGTGCAAAATTTCCAAGATACCCACTATTGATCCTATCTGTTGGCTATGTTGTTTCTTTTCATTCTTTCTCTTCCTCTTTTCTGCATGGTACAGTAATGTGCTGGGTAGACCTGGGAAGAAGAAACTCAGAGAAAAGTTCTCTCTAAGGGGGCTTCCTTTTTAAGTTGTTTGGGACCAATTGAGGGCTGATTTAGTTATCAACAGCCAATTGGATAAAGTTAGTTTGCTCTGTGAACAGACATTTTGAAGGAGGTAATCCGGAACTGAGCCTCTTTTGCTTTCTGGCGGCTGAGCAGGTAACAGGCCCTGGCCTGGTCCCACTGCAGGCCTGCGGGGGGTTTCGGAGATCCTGGCAAAGCTCCAGCATTGTAGCCTTGGTTTTTTTCTTTTCCCTGTTCAAAATCTTAACTCTTTCAATGCTCAGATAAGACTTACAGACTTTTCAGTTCTCCCCAGAGTGAAAGGGAAAAAGGAGATATTCTGAAGTCAGTGAAGGAAGAGCTAAGTTTTTTAGATGGAAGGAGAATGAGGAGATGCTGTGAAGATGGCTGAAATGTCCTTTTGTAAGACTGTAGGGATGAACTGATGTACTGAATATTCCTATAAACCATGGACAAAGACATGGGGGGTTGGAGATATTCCATTTGATAGGTCATTTGACCAGAAAGCACCTGTGTAGAGAATCTTTTGCCCCAAGGAAAGAAAGGGATCTCGGTTTCCTGAGGATAAAGCATGAACAGAGAGAAAAGAGATGAAGAGAACCTTTGTTTTGGAACATTTACTTCTTAAAAGTAATACCCCATGAATTCGACAAGGCCCACAAGCACAGCTCTGGGAAGGCTGTGGAGTTGGGAGGAGTGTCACGATTGCAGGTTGCAGGTGGATGCAAATCATGAAAATGAAACCACGAGAGGACTGTTTTCTTCCTTCTTGTGGAAAAAATCCCTATGGCTTGACAAGAGGAAGCTTCTCTCTCCAAAGTGAACTGAAAAAAGGACTATTTAACCTGGGAACTGACTGAAGTAGTTTTTTTGTATATTTGTTTTGTTGTTATGAGGGTTGGGAGAGGTAAGGAAGGAGTGGTCTGAAAATCTTATTCTGAATTTGTTTCTTTCCCTTCTTTGTGTAGTTAATAAATTTCCTTTTATACCCTTTTAAGTTTTAGAACTGCCTTGCTTCTGCTCCTGGTTCTGTCTCACGACAGAAAATGAGTATATTTAAACTGGCAAATCAAAACCATGGCATTATTTGGTGCATTGGCCGGGAAATTCAAATTAAATGAAGGCATTTTTTAGGGAAATTAAATTAAACCAAGACAAGTTTTTTGGTAAATTTTAAAGATAAAATTGTCTTATCACCTCTTTAATGAAGGTCTGGGATGTAGGGATCTGCATGCAGATAAAAATGGAAAACCTGGAGAAAAACAGTCTTTAAAGATAAAACGTACTTTTTTATGTATAGCACTATATGTAAGGAGTATACTGAATGCAAGTGCTCTATAATTTCTTGTTTTCTTCAGGAAAAACTACAACTGTGTCTGAAAAACTAAAGAAAAATCTCTTACATAGAAGACCATCCAACAGAGTAAAGAATTCTGAATTTGACAGGGTACTTTGATAGTGATGAGAAGGGCAGGAAGTTGAGAAGGAAACAAGAAGGAATGCAAGAATGAAGAGAAATGGAAGCAGAAGAACAGAGTAGTCAATGTAAGGTTAAACAGAGAAGAAAACAGGACTGAAGACTATCAGAGAATGGTGACTGAGTTACTTTCAGAGGAATTTCATAGCACTAAGAGAGGAGACAGCAGAACACGATGGAGCTCTAAGAGACTATTTTAGACCTGAAAGGTCATATTTCAGCTGCCAAGAACTTGTTCTCAGTTACTCTGAGCTGTACAATATACTCTTCAATTTCTTGGAGACAAACCAAAGATCCCAAATTATCAGCAGCCACCTGATCTGCAGTGCTGGAGACATGAGAAATTCATTACCAATTTCATAAAGTGAATGAGGTAAAATATTTTCCAAATAGCACTTTCATGATTTTCAGTGACATTTATGCATACTACGTGTCTCTTTTTCAACCCTATTGATCTCTAGTAGAAGTGAAAAGAAAGTGAATCAATCCAAATAAAGAGTCCTTTTCTAGCTCTGTGTACCAAACAGAAAACTCCAAAATAACTTTAGCTGTACAGTGGTGTGGATGCTTTAATTCAAATGATTTGGTTATTTGGTTTTCCCTTATTGAAAGAAGGCACATTTTAAAAATATCTTGGCATTGCACACTCTGCACCCAATGTTCAAGTCCATGAGTATCCTACCTTGTCTACAGAGTAAAAGTAAATGGAATATCATCGTATCTTGGTAGTACATTCACAGGCACAGAATGAGGATATGTGTCTGATCAGTTGGACGTGCACAGTTCAGGAAGCTCTTTTCTTCAAATTTCATTGTTACTCCAGCAATTTTTTCAATGTTGATAGCCCTGAGGGATATAATAAAATTAATTTCTTCACAAACCTCAATGACCCTTCATCAAAAATTGGTTTTCCCCTCTCTGCTTGTTAGGTAACTGACTGCCCATATAGCAGTATTCCTTTGGATAACAAATAGCAAAAAAGAGCATATCGAATTTCTCAGATGGGTAAGTTGTAGCTCCATGGCTGGTACAAAGTCCTCTAATATCTTAATGGATGTGCTTTTGTTTAATGAGATGATTCTGTACTTTCTGCTATATTTCTAGTGCAATTGGCTTCTTCTAAAATGAACTTGTGTTCTTGGCTCCGGAAAGTGATATGCAATGGAATGATCTGTTAGCTGAACTTCAGGCTGCAGCTACTTTACTCTTGTTTAATAGTTCATGATATAGTGCTGGAACTGCTAGAGTGATGTTGAGTTTTTGTTTTCTGTGGCCTCAGAACTGATTCTCATTTTTCCACTGGTTATCGAGGCATCTGAGAAGCAGCATAACAGAGAAAGAACTATGTTTTTAAAAATAGCTATTTCTGCATTTCAGCAATAGCCACACAGAAGCTTAGTATCTTAGACAAATAGGTGCACCCTATTGCATAGTAAGTTTTAGGCAAAGAATTCCATGATTCAAGCATATTTTGTTTTACATCCCAAAACAAGTTTTCCCTAGCCACTCTACCAGTAGGATGATAAAGTAGCATACTGTCCTTTGTGAAGCTATGAATTCCTGCCTAGTTGTATCAGATATTATAGTTATCTGTTTTACTTGACACTGATACAGAACAGTGCTAACTGACACACAGGGTGTGTCATCAAGCTGCTAATATCAGAGGTTGCAGTATAGGCCCTAAAGATCAATTCTTTTGAGTTTTATGCAATGGAGAAAGAGGAAGGAGAATTCAGATGTGTTTTCAGTGTAAGACTTTTAACAAGCCTGCAAGCTTGTTAATGGAATTAGTTCCCATGCATCAATATCACAGATGGGTAATGCCAGAGAAATGGCAGGCCAAATGTGATGATAGTGCATCAAACAGGAGTGAGCAGGATCATACCAATAGCTCACTTCCAGTCAAAGCAGAGGGCAAAACTGGATGAAGAGATTAGATGCCCATGCAAACCACATTTAGGGAGAAGCAGAGGACCAGTTACTTTATATTGCCTTAATTTACCATAACTGTAGGTGTTCACTGTAGCTGCCTTGAAGAAAAGAGCTTGTATAAACATCTGCTTTGGGGGCTACCTTACACTTCAGGTGTCAGCTTCACCATGTGAGTCTCAAAGACATGAATGACTGCAGTGTGGGTAGTGGAATGAAGAAGGATGAGTGTAGATTAAGTTTTCAAAGAGGACAAGATCAGTCATGTCAATAGCCATTTGTTTCACATCTTTACTACTTTTTCACAGCAATACTATCAGAACAGACAAATGTTAATTTCTCAAATACTGTTTTTTAGACTCAAAAATGAACATAAGGAGGGACAAAGACCCAAATAAGTTAATTTCCTGCACAAAACTCTTCCAGGCTGTTCCTGTGTGTCTCTTCCAGGCTACCAAATGAACTTGCTAAGCATTTTGAACCAGGCAATATCAAAACCAAAAATAACAAAACAAAACAAGAGAAAAAAATAAAAAAAAGTACCTCAGAGAAATGGTGCTATGATTGAAATATTTACATTTTATGTCCAGAATGTAAAGTAGAGCAAGAAGCTCGAATTTTCAGTCAGATGACTCTTGATCTCCTCCCATGGTTACGTTGACAATTTTGCTTCATCATAAGCAGTGTCATGTGTGGTTGTGGTGCATTTGGCAGTACTAATGGTAGGTACAACATATAACCTGTGTTATTTGCCCTCTTCTGAAAACCCAAGTAAGTTCATCAGAATATCCTAATACCGTTAATCAGATAAAACTTCTGGCTAGTGCTTTGTCTATCTAAATTATGTAGTGTTATTTTACTGAAGCAAATAACTCCATGTTAGTCAAGACAATGGTTTCAATGCAATAACTCTCCATAATGAGAAATATTTGAACTTCATAAATGTGATAGAAGAAAAATACACGAAAAACATTATTTGGGGGAAGAATATTTTAATAAATAGTCTATCTGTTAAATTAATACTCTGCAATGTTACAAGGCCTTTTTGCATTATTATTGCATTTAATTCAGGTGACAGCAACTGTGCCACCAAAAGGAGGCACAATATTTGTATATGTATGCAAATATACATGCAGAGTATAGTTAAGGCAAGAAAGAAATATAGTAAGCCTTCCTTTGTTAATTCCAGTCCTTGAATTTTGCTAAAATATTAAAAATACAGAAGAATTATTTTCCTGTTCTGGAAAAAGAACATGAGATTGCATCTTCAGAAATGTATTTTATTCTGGTAAGAAGTCAAATTACATAGCACTGGGTCTGTCTGACAGTCTCATGTATACTACAGAAGCACAGAACTACATAATTAGATAATGTAAGTTAGGCTGTACACCAAACCTGTCCCGATACAGTCCAAATGAGGTTATTGACTCAGAGAAAGAGTCATTGATAAAGCAATTATTGCCAGCAGCCAGATGTGTGATAGCTCATTTTTGGAAATGGACAGATGCCCCAGCATTAATGTCCCGTAGATATCCAACATAAGAAATTCTTTAAATAGAACCAAAATGACAAGCAGCCTTATATCAGAATCTAGTAGATTTAATGTGTAACATTTCCTTGGAACCATAACAGAATAAACACATGACTAAGAGGCCAAATAAGCACAAATGAATCTTTTAAAGGTGACAAATTTGCTATGTATTAGTCAGGTTGTCCAGAAACTTAATGCATTCCAATAAGGATTTATTTATTTTTTTAAGCTACCAGGACATAATGTACTCAAAAGTTAGGTGCATAATTTTAGGTACATTCAATTTATTTCCATTCATTGCACATCCTTATTAGAAAACTCTGCCATCTGAATATTATACTGCTATGCCAAATGTGCAATTCTATAAATCAGCCTGTGAGAGAGGGTGCCAGCCCTTCCTGATGATAAATACAGTGGCAGGAATCTACTTTGTTTTGTAGCATGTAAGACTGATTAATCCAAAGCTGTTTGCAAACTTAATTTCATACAGGATACCCCCACCCTTACAATCAGATTAACAAATCAAAGGTACATTCAGACTTGGAGACAGGTTGCCACTTAAGCGTTTCAGATACTCAGGCATTTGGTTAAACTAAGCTTGGATTAACAAGGTCTGACTATTTAAAGGGAGTTATGTTTAGGGGTTCTCTGTCTCCACCGATTTTGAATGCTGTGCTCATGGGGTAGTGCTGTCCAGTCTTAAGAGCTTACAGAGCTTTACAGCCTCCCTGCAAGCTTCATGAGCTTAACTGAAGATAAGTATACACAAACTCACCTTCCTAGAAAGACCTCTATTTATGTGAGGGGGAAAAAACCCAAACAAATCTTTTTATGCAGGGACTAAGCTGCATCTTTCCTGTCATCATTATACTTATTTTTATATAGTGAAATTTATTAGACTAAACCCCTTAATCATGTGGAATAGATGAAAGTGGAATCATTCAACACTGTCACCTTTTGTTGTCACTTGAGACTCTAGGAGTGATAGAGCATGATCAAATTATTTGTTAGGAGCAAGTCATGCCAACCAATTTTGCCTCAGTGGAAAGTAGATCTGTGAGGGTCTGGGTAAAGTCCTTTTCTGGCTTTCATTTGTGAATTTAAAAATAAAAAGTGATAACTTCTTTAGCTAATATTCCCAGAAGTGTTCCCTTACTAGCTGGAAGTGTCTAACTTTGTAACATAGAGAGACCAGATTTCCCATGGAGAAGTGAAGAAATGTGCAGCATCTCATCTCACATGGAGAACCTGAGTTCACTCACCATTGAGAAAAGGAGGCCACTGGAGGCCATCTTCTTCAGGATTCATGGTGTTGTCATGTGTAAGTGTAAGTGAACAATGGTTTAGTGACAACTGCTGCACTGAGGGTTTTTTGGTCAGTTGTGCTGGATTTGTCTGCAGTAGAGTTAACTTTCTTCTCAGTGGCTAGCATGGGGCTGTGTTTTGAGCACATGGCTGATGTTTTTGTTATGCTCACACAAGGCCAAACCCTCTTCTGCTTTCACACTGCCATGTTGGTGAGGAGACTGGGGGTCCATAGGACACTGAAAGGAGCCACATCACACACAGCTGACCCCAGCTGACCAGAGGGATATTCCAAACCCTGTGACATCATGCTCCTTGTATACAGAGGTACACAGGAGTGTGTTTGGAGTGATGCCATTTGTCTTCCCAAGTAGTTGTTGCACATGATGGGGCCCTGCTCTCGTGGAGATGGCTTAACACCTGCCTGCTCATGAGAAGCAGTGAAATAATTCCTTGTTTTTCTTTGCTGTGCGTGCAGCTTTCACTTTCCCTATTAAACTGTTGTTATGTCAATCCATGAGATTTCCAGCTTTTACCCTTTTTGATTCTCTTTCCAGTCCCACTGGTGAGGGAGCGGGTGAGTGGCTGTGTGCCACTTTGTGGATGTCTGGGATTAAACCACAACTGTACAGGAGCTGATGCCAGTTAGAGGTGAGAAACAGAAACATGGATATGAGGCAGGGACTGTGGAAGGTTTCTGTAGTATAGTTTTATTAGTGTTGGCTTACATTCAGTCATTCAGCAAGAAACTCTTCACTTATATACAGCTGTATTGTCATAAGTAACTATATGTATTGTGTATCCAATCACTTCTAAGGAATAGAGACATTTAGCATTATAATTTCTTCAGCTGTTTCAGATCATAATAAAAGCTTGATATCCATTACACAGCAATAAAAATGCATTTTCAGAGCCTCTTTTTCATTTACTTATTTATTATTTTTTGATTTATTATTTCCACATTTAAAAGAAGATTGTAGTTCTGCAGAAAAGTCCAAGTGCCCTAGTGAAGGCGGGAAAGCCACAACTGATGCATGATGATGAAGCTGCATTTGGAGAGGAAGAATACACTCACATCAGATGAGAGTGTGGCAGATAATTCTTACCACATGTCCTTTCTCTAAACTATCTGCCTCTGGATAGGGACATTCAAATTGCCATGCATTGGTCCAAAATGAGCTATCCTTTGGCTGTACAGCTAACTGAACTCATCACAATCTAGTGTTATTTGCATGTAATTGCTCCCTAGTCAGTCAATAATTTACATCTTGACGATTCAGGAGAATGTTTGTTATATAAAATGAAGAGTTTCCTGAAAAATATGCTTATGAATTGTTTAATTTTCAACCCTTACTAATGAAGAAATGAAAGGTCAGGAGGGAAAAGGAGGGAAGAAAGAACTCAGGAATATTAGGAAACAATTTATAGAGGAGTAAATATAAGTGGTTTTAGTCTGCTATAATCTGGTGACTTTTCATTTTCCATCTTTCCTTAATTTAAGTAAAGAAAATACAATATGAGATCATGCAAGAATGGCTGAATATATGTTTATTTTCATTTACTAAAAAGTGAAAGTAGCACTTATGATAGGTTCAATTGAAATCCCAGTTGCTTTTACTCCCTCCTCCCAAATCTTTACAATAAATACATATTTTATGTGTGAAAGTACTTTGCATTTATGAGATTAGAGAAGATTTAGAGATATATCTGCAAAAGAAAGTGTGAGTGTTAGAAAGGCTGAGTGGCCTGTTACTTGTAGTACAT